GTGGCTAAGTGTTTCCAATTGCCTTGGGGAAACAACAGTTTTCTGGACATCTCACCAGGAATTTTCTCCTATTTTTCATTTGTTAGCTGTACGTCATATGAGTACCTCTGGGTCAAAAAGAACCTGGGTAGTCAAAAACTGCCCAGATAGGTGTGTTGTTACCTCCTTGAAAATAATGAAGGGCTCACTAATATGAAGAAGGGGAGAAACAATGTGTAGTCTTTGATCCAATTAATATTCCTTCAGAGATCATTTTCCTGAGGACATTGCAGTGCTTTAAGGAAGTGTGCCTGGGAGCTAGTGAATTTCACTGGAAAAGGCCATTACCTAGAGTAAGAGAACTCTTAAAGAAGACAGGAGTATTCTATATCTGCATTGTTTCACACAATAGCCACTTGCCACAAGTGCTCGCTATTTTAGCACCTGAAAAGTAGCTGAACTTTGCTTCACTATATAAATTAAGTAGTCATTTGGGGATAGTGACAGTATTATATTGGACAATTCAAGTCCAGGACATTCTTGGTGAATGTTTTGATGTGGAAGAAGGGAGGGCAATAAGGAAAACCACTGAGAACAGAAGCAGATGTGGATGAGGTAGATGGGAAAGGATGGATGGAGTTGTGCCTCTGGAGAACTACTGTCCCAGTGAAGGTGTGGTGAGGCAGGTGAAGGCAGGTTCAGGGCAATGCACAGGGCTCATTAGGCTGGTTCTCTCAGCGGGTCCTTTTATATGGATCTTTTCTATTATAATGACAGCAGTGTCACTTTTTCCAGGAGAAAAGAGGTTCTTCTCAGTGGGTGGTGTACTTGGATGATTCTCCAACAGTTCTGCCACCCTGGGCATGGCACTCAGACCTGTGTCAGTGCAGGAGTGTTGGTCTGGGAAAGGCTGACCGTGGTTACTTCTATTTTCTTGTTTTTTTAACTCAAATTTTCAGAAACCAGTGGAAACACAGTAAAACCCCTTTCTAGGCACTTTTTGTCATCTCATGAGAAAATACAATCTTATTTTCCTCCTTCTATACTGGACTTTTTTTTTTTTTTAACCTGACTTCTCATTCTGCACCCTGGTACTAATATTGCAGTTTCACAAGACTCCTGTCTTCCTGGGTGAGCGCATTCTCCTCTAAAGCTTTCAGTGCTGTGACTGCTCTCTGAGCACCAGGCTTGTGTCCAGCTGCTTATTTGACCTTATGATTCGGTTGTCTTAAGAATACCTCAAACACAGGAGGTTCAGAAAAGAGCCTGTCTCCAGCCTCTCCTCCCAGAAGCTTCCATGTCTTTATTTACATTGTTTTTCTAGCCAGAAAGCCAGTCTCTTCTTTCCCCCGCCTACCATGCCCAATCCAATGGCCTATTCCATAGGCATCCACCAGATGACATCTCCATCCCCTTCTCTGCTCTTCCACTGCCACACCCAACTTTGACCCTCTGTCACCTTTTGAGTGGATGTCAGCAATCGCCTTCTGTGTTTCTCCAGACTCACTTCCTCCTAACACACCTTAATCCCACTCAGTTGCCAAAATGAGTTTTCAATTTGTTAATAATATCACACAGCTCTCTTGCTTAATGCCCTGTCTTTTCCCATTCCTCTTAGAATAAATTTAATTTCTTTGCCAAGAGTAAACAGTTGGCTATGTGCTCATTCCTGAATCTCTCTCCAAATTTATTATTTGTTCCATTTTTTGGACTCATTTTTCTCGAAACACATTGGCCTTCGCTGCCTGTAACGTGTCAAGTTCTTTCTCGTCCCAAGGACTTCTCACTTGCATTTCTAGGCTGTGTTCCTAGAACATTGGCTGTCTGACTCCTTCTCAGCCCTTGCGTGTTGCTCAGCCAACCACTGCCTGACTACCCTCATTAACAGTGTTTTCACTTTCAAATGCAATAGCACCATCTTCAAATAATTTATAGTGCAAATGTTTTTTTTTTTTTTTTTTTTTTTGCTGTTGTTACTTTTCTTTCTTAGTGCCATGAGAACAGGACCAGTACCTACTTTATTCACTATTACTTCTTCAACTGTTAAATGCCTGGTGCAAACAAATATTTCTTGAATAGATGACTTCAATTATTAGAGTGCATAAAGAAGAGACTATTGAAAGTTGTATTTTAATTACATTTTAAGTAAAGGGAAGTCATATAAATGGCAAATCAGGATATTTAACTACCAAAGCATTTTGATGATCATCTGGGATAGTTGCCAATTTAACTTTGTAGAAGGATGTGATAAATGAGCCAATAAATGGAAAACAATCTCCTATTTCCTTGCACATAAATTTCACATTAAATTGCTTGTTGTGAGGAGCCATTGAGTCATTCCCTGTGATATTCTAAATTAAAGGCAGAATGCCTTCTTCTGCACTAAAGATTTAATTATTCCAATAATGTCAACTGATAACAGTTCTTACCAATGCAGGGTCAGCAAGAGACACAAACGTACCTGGAGTCTGCAGCTTGGTGGACAAGTACTAGAAGCTTATTTGTCTATTCTTCTACCCCAGATTATTTGTCTCAAAAGATGACCACTTTTTACTTAATTCATTAAGTAAAACTGCATTTTAAGTGGACTTTGGTTTTAACAGAGAACCCAAGATATAATCAATTAAAAAGTATTCACTGAGCTAATAGCCTTAGGGAACACTGACTTTCTAACTTGGATCTACTCTATGGAAAATAAAAGTAAAATAGCATCTGAAAGACTCTCCATTGTCCTCCAATGACAGTCCACTAACCAAATGTCCTGCAAGCATGTCCTAGAATCAGTTTAGGGCTCTCAGTTTGGAGAAGAAAACGAGAAGACTGTTTTGAGAAAGATAACCTCAATCTAATACGTGTTTTTGAGGATCTGCTCTGAGTGTTGAGTCAGAATCAACTGTTCTCAAGGAATCCGGTAGGTAATGGATTCATTTGACAGATAGCTAAAACATCACAAGGGGGAGGGCAAACAAATTTAAAAGGAAGCAAAAAAATAAAGTCATATAGAAATTCCGAGGAGAGCAATGAGTTCCACTTGCAGATGTTGGAATTTTCAAGAGGTGCCGTCCCTTCTGCTGAGCTTTGAAAATCAAGCAGGACCTGAATGTCTACAGTAGGGAAGGCTTTCCTACTTCTGCAAAGACATGGGTCAGAAAAGCAAGAGAAATGTACAGGGAGCACAGATTGGTCAGCAGGTTAAAGGGAGAAGGGTTAAGATGGGAGAAATGGTTTGGGGCTAAGAATTGCACTTCATGCTGCAAGAATTGGGGAGTCCTGCAGGAAGAGAGAGCAAGCCTGATGTGAGTGACAGTTGTGCTGTAGGAAGCAGATAGTGAGAACATTGGAGAGAGAAGTGATGGGAAGGCTTCTCAAAGGTTTCTGATAGTGATAGAAGTGGAAAAGTTGGAGGTAGTTTCAACAGGACTTGTGAACTATCTGGATAAAAGGAATCAAGGAAAAGAATAAATAGATACAAAGGAGGAGGGTTGAAGAGGCAAGGAGAGTCCAGTTTCATGACAACCAGTGGGAGAGAGATTTTTAAGGGGAAGTGCCCAGGAGTGTCAGACACACAGCTGCATCATTTGCTGCAATTGAAGAAGACACCAACAAGAAAAGCCCACTAAGTGTCTTGTTTGTTCAGAGGACTCTGGACGTAACGTGACATGACAGAAGAAGTATGGGATGGTCATGTGTTGTGCAAAACCACTACCTGGATTCATGGGTGGTTATGTTCCCTTGATCACAATGATGAATTCAAATCAATTAGGCACTGGCCACAAACCCCTCTTTACAGAGAGGAGTATAGGGAGAGCAAAAGAAGCAAGGTTTATCCGTGAAGTTCCCACCAGAGCCACTGGTCAAGAGAAGCAGCTACAGAGAGGCAGGTCAGTCTGGGTGAAGATGATGTGTATCCCTGGGAGAAGGGCAGGGATCACATTGTCGGTCATGTTTGATTTCATATCCACCAGATCCTAGTGAAAAGCTCTGTTCCATAAACACTCAGTAAACCTTTTCCAGAGAAATGGCTGATTCAGAGTGATTTCAGGGAAAGAAATAAAGAGCTGAGTGGAAACAAGAAATTAAAATGGAAAATCATGCAATCTAATGGAGCGTGGGTGGCAGCAACTAAGCCCGTGTGTAGGGCTGTGTGTAACTGCCACAAGTGCAAGGTGGTGTATACAGCAAGAGAGAAACATTTCAATAACCCAAAGCAAAAAGAAGAAACAAAAGGGCAAAAGTGAATCCAAGCTGCGTGCTGTCTTTAACTTCTGTGCACTGATGGAAAGACACTGTCACCTATGCTTCTGTCTGCTCTTACTCGTATATGTCAAGAGAAGCAACAGTTAAATAACACTGAAAAGCTTTTGGTTTTATTTGTAAGCCATATGAGAGCAATTAATAAATGCTGCAAGCAATGACACAGTGACTGGCCTTGCAAATTGGCTCGGGTGTCGTGGTGTGCACAGTGAAGAACTGCACTGAGAGGTCACACTGGAAAAATGCAGGCGGGGAAGCACTCTGGATCAAAACCAGGATGGCATAATTCCCTTTTAAATTATTGCAAGGTTTCCTTCTCTCAATCTGTCTCCTGTGCTGCATTCAAATGTACCACATTAAGCTAGATCTCTGTTGTGATAGTCTTTCAGAGGCTGGGGTGGCTGATCTTACTGACTTCTGGTTTATTACCTCTCCTAGGGCTGGAAGGAAAGGGCTTGGTGGCACCAAGCTCTGACTGGCACCAACCCTTTTAGAGAAACCATGGAAATTTCCAAAAGGGGAAATGTTGCAGGGGGAATCTCGTAGGTGAGGTATCTTTGATGGCTGTAGTATTTCCATTTCAATTTGCAGCCCTTCTCCTTAGGAGTCCAGAGAGCTTGTTTCTTCCTCTTTCTCTTTCTCCCTCTAAACATCCAATTACAAAGTAAGTCTGTGTGATAGGCAGTAAGACCCTGTGGCTGTCATATTTTTCTTAAAGCTCCGGTGCACCCGCCTCCTCTCACGCCCTCCCTGTGGTTGCTTTGCAGGCCATGGCACATGCTCCTGTGGTCACTGTGTCTGTGAGAGAGGATGGTTTGGCATGCTCTGCCAACATCCGCGGAAATGTAACATGACAGAAGAACAAAGCAGGAGTCTGTGTGAATCAGCAGATGGCATATTGTGCTCCGGGAAGGGTGAGTATCGCTGCTGGAGTCTGTTTTGACGCATGGTTTGTCCAGCAGCAAGGAGCAGCCATCTTTCAATGAATTTGCGCAAAGGAAAGCCACTGCGTCCTCTGCCTGCCCCATACTCAGAGCTTGAACATTAGCCACAGGAAGTTGGGGATCTAAAATAATGACATACACAAGAGGGTTTTGATGCAAAGATTGTCATTCACTTATGTGCAAAGTTGTAGCTGCAAAAAGCAGAATGAATAATTTTGTAAAGACAAATGACAATCACATGTATATCCTAGGCACCCAATGAATCCAGAACAGAAAAGGGCCAAAGAGGATTGTTGAGCTCACCCCTGCAATACGACAGCCCAGAATTGTATAGATACGTAGGTGGAGGAGGGTAGGGGATAGCATGTGAGGAAGACAGAAAGGGAAAATAAATATTTGTTTTTATAAAAGGGACAGAAAATGTATGTGTTTCCTATAATTCTGGTACAATTTTCATTGGACTAAAAATCAAATTGTTCCAGGCAAGCAGGTGTGTCCTAATGCAAGGAAATAGATAATAATTAAAGGAAATAGATAATAATTAAACAAGGGGGTGAAAAATCTACAAGCTGATTGAACATAAATCAACAACCCAATCAAATATTGACTATAGAAATAGATTTGAGGAAAAAGCAAATCTCCCCCACACCCACACTGAATAACACATTTACACACTTATACATATTCTCTTTCTCTCTTTTTCCTTCTCTCTCTCTCTCTCTCTCTCTCTCTCTCTCTCTCTCTCCATACACACACATATACATCACCAAGGAAATTCAGAAGGGAATTTCTCTGAATTGACTGATAATATATTAAGTTTTGGGCACCTCAATTTGGTGTTTTCTATAGCATGTTCTTGAAGGGATTTTAAAATCCTGCTATCATGGCACATAGCCAAATCTGTCTAGGAGGCACCCTGTTCCTCTTTGCCATCCCCAGGAGCCACAGGAGTCTTAGGGGTTCTCCGCACAGCTCAGAGTGCTGATTTTCAGGGAGCTCCCCTCGTAGCTCAGCAGCCTCATGGCAGAACAGGCACCCAACTCTGAAGACCAAGCCGAGCGCTAGCAGGAGCTTCATGGACCCTCAGAACCGACTCTGGAGCAGGATGAGCATGTGATTTCTTTGTGAAGAAGACACAGTGAAGCAGAAGTGTGTTAGAGGCACTGAGCAGTGCTACAAGGAGCCCCACCAGAGATGCCACCATGGCACATCAGGGGCTCAGAGAGCACGATGCCCCATGGATAATGTGTTCCCCAAAAGGCAGCTGAAAGAGGCTTTAAAAAAATGCTTATTTAGTTGTAGCTGTTTACATGGTGCAGAGGATTGAACCCAGTGCCTCACACATAGGAGCCAGCACTTAACCACTGAGCTACAGCCTCAGCCCCAAAAGAGGCCTTTTAGTGTCACTTCAGTCATTAAAGCAAATCGACTCTGTGACCACCTCTGGTGCTGGGAGGAAGGCCAAAATGAATACAAATGTGCTCCCTTCCATAGACAGCAGTGTCCTTGGTTTCCAGGAATTCTGTGTTCAAGAACTGTGCTTAGAGTACTCAGGCAGAGAAGCCACGGGTTGAACCTCAAGCCATTAGTGCAGGCAAGCAGCACTCGGTGAGCTTAAAGCAAGCACCCTGCCCTTCTTTTTACTCTTCCATTAAATTCCATCCAACTGGAAGTCCCTAACAAATCTTCCACCAGTTCTATTCCCAGGGGGCTTCTGCTCCTGGAAAACCCCTGCGTTAGATTCGAGCTGTGTGGGAGAATCAAGGAGGAGGAAAGAGGTTAAAAAGAAGAGACCAAGGGAAGGAATCAGGGAGGAGGCTGATGAAGAAAAGTGAGAAAGAGGTAGGGATAGATCTGCCCTGCCGGGGTGAGTAAGAGGGACAGAGGAGGTGCTGCCAGGGGGGAGTGCCCTGCATATGGAAAACACTGAGATCCACTAACTAACTTTTCTGCATGGGATTTTTTCCCTGCACATAGCTCCAAACACACAGCTCTAAGGTTCGGATATCTTTTCACTTGGTTTCCACAATGGCAGCTTCATTAGAATAAGAACACCAGGTTTAGGAACATTCTGCTGGCTGAGGATTCCCACAGATACTAAAACACGAGTGAGCTTGTTTGTTTATTTCAAAAATCAACCACTGTGTACCTGTGTGCTACTAGACACCCCATCAAGGCATTAACTGTGTCCACAAGCAGGCCGTGGCTGAGTCATGTTCAGTTCCAAGTACAGTAAGAACTCACCAAGTTGGACTCCCCAGCATGGGCAATAACAGTCCATGTCCTAAAGTGACTTTCATACAAAAAGAGTTGTTCCTCTTCAAGAAAGAGACATCCTTATTAAACTCACTAGAGTTTGAGGAGAGATTCACATTTTTTAAGCATTGGAAATGTAGAAAATAAAAAAAATAGGTGGACTAAATATTGACTTAAAGGCATTTCCTGAAAAACAAACCAACCCTAAACCTCTCTCTGGTTAATGCTTTTCCAAATTGTTTGCTTTGGGTGATGGATGTATTTCCCGAGATCAATGAAGGGTTGAAAGCAGATTTGTTTAAACTATTTGTTTATCCTTCAATAGGAAGAGTGCTTTAGAGTCTTTAAGTTCAAAAGGGATTGTAAAAGCTTCCCCAAGGCTGCACATTGTGACTTTCAGTTAGTGGGGGGTGCATATTGCGGCAGCTGCATATTGAGGTCTCCTTTCTTCCTCCTCTTCTGGAACATTAGTGCTTCTAGAGAAGAAAGGGGTTGACACTGGGGTCACAGAGCCTGGTCCTTTGTAAGCACCCAGGATAATGGGAGCATATCAGGTATTCCTGATCCCCAGGGGTAGTGCCAACACTCACTCCACCTGAGAACCACAGGAAAGAAACTCGAGACAGAGGACTTCAATATGGTGGCAGAAAAGAGAAGCCTGTTCTCTGGGGCTGGGTTTCCTTATGAATTCCTCAGATTTGTCTGAATTACATACAACTTTTCTTGAATTTATAAATGAAAACCCTTCACCTGAGGGTCCCAAAGGACTTTGAGTCTTCTTTCTCCCACTGAGGGGAACATGTGAGTGGAGGCCTGTGATCACCTTGGTGCTCCACCGAGCAGCCCTGACCCACTGACAGCATGAGGCGCGGGAGGCCCACGTGCCACCACCTGTGTGCGTGCCACCAGCTGTGAATAAAGCCGTCACCTCAGGAGACGATGAAGAAAAAGCATTTTATTTCTTTACAAAGTTATAGCCAAGACAATAAATCACTCCATAGAAAAATTTAAAACAAGATACATTGTTGTGACCTTCGTAACAGATGGAATCGTTAGTACAGTAGTGGAAACTGCCTGCTGGGGTGTGGGTTGCAGCATTTTCTCAGGCTCCGTGAATGAGACAAAGTCCAAGGGTAGCGATGGGGTGGGGCAATGAATGAGGGGCCTTGCCCTTGACTCAGGTTGTTTTTATAAATAACCAAGAGAGATGAGCTTAGTGTCGAGATCTCCCCTAAATTTAGCTACCTTTACAGAATACAGGATATAATTCATGTTTTCAGAATACAGGATATAGTTCATGTTTTTGGGTTTGGGGGGGATTTATTTATTTGAATCCAAATGACACAATAGCATTTTTATCTTGGTGACCTCAACCTCCATCCAGGCAATCACCTTGATGTTCTTAAGGACGGATGCTGTTGTGTGGCAATGGCTGTAAACACCTGTCTTTAAATGACCCCTTTAACCCTCCCACTGACAACCTCTTGGGCCCCACATTATCCAGGAAGTCCAGAGTACACCCCAACCACTTATTTCTCAGCCAAGTAGCCCCTGTCCCACATCCCTGGAAAAGAGATGTTCTAGTTTCCATTCTTCTAATTGCCCCCTCCCCAATATGGCGCATCACATCTGTAGGAACAAGCATCTCATTTTTGAAACTCTTTGAAAGGTTTTGTGGTGAGAGGCATTACAGGTGGAGAGCACACAAAAGAGCAGATGGAATCAGATTAAAATCTCAACTGTTGTTTATTGCCTGAGTGGTCCTAGGCAATTCCCTTATCCTCTCTGTTCTTCCATTCTCATGGAAAAAAAAGTACATTTATTTTCCTTTCTTAAATCCTAAGGGTGCTCAGAAGACACATGAGAAAATGTGGCTTATTTCCCATGAATGATAGCCAGCAAAAAGCACAGAGGGGGATAGGAATATCCTTAAGGATCCTTATGTTGAGAAAGAAAGCAGATGGATTAGTGGTGTTTTAGTCATGAACTTACCACCCTAGGGCTCCTGCCAGGATGGGCCAGCTGCTTGTTCCCTACGGCTGGGCTGGGATGGGCCTCTGGTGTAAGCAGGTCCAGCCAGCTGAGCTGAGCAATTAATTGCTCACCTTGGAGTAGTCCTGCAGCCTATGTCTGTCAGAATCTTCTCCCTTAATTTTTCCCTTTGCAGAGAGGGACAGTTGACTCCCCATTATTGGTTATTGATGATAACAGCCAGAGCACTTTACAAGAAAGGTGCTGTAATAAGTCCTAATAATTGGTCACACTATGTATTAGTACATGCTGTGCTATTCCTAGTTACACAAGCAATAGCAGGATTTCCTACCTCTGAGATGCATTGAGTATTAACAAACAGGAGAGAACAGCACAGCCAGGAAAATGCTGACCAAGGGAAGCTACTGTTTCATGGCACATACAAAATCATTCCTCGGTTTTTATCCTAAGTATTTGGTGACTAGAAGATTCTGGAATGGGAATTTACTCATCAAATGCTCTACCAATGTATACCATATCAAGTTGAGCTGAGCTTCCCAGTTTTAGGGGAGTACTTTGCTAAGGCCTAGAGCTGAGCATTCCAGAAGCAAGAGTAGTGTTTAGAATAAATTCAGGGTTGGGATAAGTAAAGATAAAATGTAAGATCTTTTCATGAATTGCGGTCCATTAAAAAAAGGTAGCATAGATGTAATACACGAATATCATGGACATGAAATCATTTGCTTCTATTGTCGAAATAGTTTTGCAATGTAAGGAAGATAATATTTTAGAAAAAAATTAAAGTCAGATTCTTCAAATAATTAATCTTCCTCCACTTGTGGAACCTAAAATACTAAATTTTGTGTCTTTTGAAAAAATTTCTCTGATAGTCAATGAAGTGCTGATATATCAAATGGTTAATTTCTTAAGCAAGCAGTTGAATGTTGAACATTCCCATGCCTAGAAATTTGAAAGTTAGTCTTTAAAATTGGGATAAATAAATTTCTAAAATATGGAAACACTGTATACCTGGATGAGACCCAGAAGGGGACACCATTCTTTGCAGACCAACCAGCTCTCTGGGTTCTGAGCAACTGCCAGAATGACTCCCAGTCATTCCTAAGAGCAAAGCGATGTCTGTATTTTGCTCAAGAGTCTGAAAGTCAACCTAGACCCTCAGGAAAACAAGCCAATATTGAGCATTTCCTTAATGGCTTTCATCACCTAAGTGGTTAGTCATTTTTAATTACTATGTTTAAATATTCCTGCCCATTTCCCAAAATGTTTTGACCTCACCAAGTTTGGAATTTTGGTTAACCATGTGAAAATACTTTCACTATTTCACATTCTGTCCAGGTGATTTTCATTTTGGGAAATTTAACAATAATCATTTCTTAAAAGGGAAAGAGCCACCACCAAGGAAAGGGACGCAGTTCTTTTCAATTTTAAAGTCATCTTTCTTGCTGTGGTGGAATGTGGTGCCCTGGGTGGGTGTTTTCAATCCATCATGAAAGATGGTTAAACTGAGGACACTCTTCTCTTTGGAATATCATTGAACTCAGAGTTTTTTCTTGATTTTAAATATTCCATTAATTAAATTATTTCTCAGTAGCATAAAATATTTTAATAAGCATGCAGTAAATTGTTAAAATTAGACAGGAGGCAAAAAGAGGAGAAATGGGTGAAATAGTGGGAAAATTTATAGAACCTAGAGCCCCATAGTCTCAAGATTTTGAAGGTTTATAGCTAGTCTATATTCTAGCAGGAAATCTTGAGGGTGACATCTGATAAATCGAGCATACACAAGCCTGTGTGTGCATGTTAGCACTGTAACAACGGGCCACCGCACATGCAGGTATTCACCATTACTATGCTAAGAAACTCATGGAAACAAAAAACCAAAATTATTAGCCAAGTATCTAAGTGGTTATTTTAATCATAAGACAAATCCTCATTTAATAGAATTTACTATTAGATTCCATTAAAGAATGGGCACTTTAAAAACATGATTTAATTCAGGAGGGAAAAAAAAAACTATTTTTGAACACCTTTATGGGAGAACATCTATAAGAAGCAGCCAGTTAGGCTCTCATTGACATTTCAACCAGACTGGGCCTCGGGACATTTGTTCAAGGCTAATTGCAACTGTCTAGATCCATAATGAAGGCTTTCCGGGATGACCTTTATGAATTACAGTAAGTAAAGCTCCCCTCCGAGAAGCCAGCTATTCAATAAACTTTTACCTTTGGAAGATAGGTTATTAGAAGCCTATTGTCAGTGTGTCAACGATGTTCTATTCTAGATGGAAACCTCCGGTTATTTGGTGACAGTGAGTAATGCCCTTTGTGGTTTCAGGTTCTTGCCATTGTGGAAAGTGCATCTGTTCTGCTGAAGAATGGTACGTTTCAGGGGAACTTTGCGACTGTGATGACAGAGACTGCGACAAACATGACGGTCTCATTTGTACAGGTGCAGTATTGAGCTCTACTAATTGTTCTACTCCACAGTCTGCAATAGAGCCGGGGGACACCTGCCAACAATGCTTTAGGTGACCAGACAGGACAGCTTCTGTATAATTAAGGGACAACTGTTAATATGAAATGACTGAAAGAGGAAGTGGGCATTTTTAATGAGCATTGGCATTATTCCCAGGCCTAGAAGAATACAAAAGAATGAAACCAGATCATATGATCATTGTGAAATTCCCACAAGGTAACCCACCCTACAAACTCATACATATGCAATTATATATTGAAAAGAGAAAAGAAACCTCTTGATGGCAATTTTATTTTGAGCATCGTGTAGGAAATGGTGTGTTATTTTACACAGGACCCAGGTGCCCCTCCTTGGTGTGCTGGGTTCTTTCCAGGGGACTGGATGACTGTATCTGTGTGAATGGGGAGGAGAGGCAGGGCCAAGCTGTAAGAAAAGCTTGTTGTGTACTAGCCATTGGGGCCCTAATTGAGTCCTAACAATTTGTTATAAGATACACTTAGTTGAGCAAGTTACAGGGGAAATGAGGACATGTCGATCTGCCGTCCTCACCTCTAGCTGAAGGCAGAGAGGGATGTTTGTGTATGTCACTAAAGCAGACATCATTTTTGCCCCTCCCTGATGCTTAAGAGTCCTGGGATACTTGACTCCTTGGCCTGTCAAGGAATTTGATATTTTAAGTCAGACATAACAGGATAACACAGTTGTGACATGGTAGCCCAGTTGGAGTGACTCAGGATGGTTGCCATTTGATTCATAGATCATGGCACCAAATAGATGGCCTCAATTCTTTGAAAGATCAGATTTCTTTTTTGTTGCTTAATAAGATGTAGTAGTAAGATCATTGCTACTACTATCCTCTCTGCATTGTATCTAGAGAGAATAAGTTAAACAGTGGGCTAATAGGCTGTCTGGTTTATAATAGTGTGTTTTGGTGCATTTTGATCATGCTGCCTATGTGTGTTTTATTGCAGGGAATGGAATATGTAGCTGTGGAAACTGTGAATGCTGGGATGGATGGAATGGGAATGCGTGTGAAATCTGGCTTGGCACAGAATATCCTTGACAACTCCATAAGCAAAGACTGGATTCTTATTTTTCTAGGCAATTAGAATGCCTAACGCAAAGGAAGTCATGTATAATCACCACTAGGACAGATTAAACACACTATTGTATGTTTTTCTATTTCTGACCGCCTGAATGAAATCTGGGTACCCATTAAAAATGCGTTAAACCAACTCTGATATAAAAAACACTGAAAGAATTTTTCTTTCACCAGTGGTTCTCAGCATGGGAACTTTTGCCACCCAGAAGGCATTTGGCAATGTCTATGGAGAATTATGATGGTCAATTTGGGGCGGGGGGGTGGGTAGGAAGTGTGCTATGGGAATCTAGCGGGCAGAGGCCAGGAATACTGTGCAACCCCTGCAGTACACAGGACCGCCCCCACAGCAAAGAGTGCTGTGACTCCAAATGCCATGTGTGCTGGACTTAGGAAGTGCTGATGGTGCTGTTTTTAGAGCTCTTTGTCCCTACACAGGAAAGACCTCAATAGAATATAAAGAAAAGATATATTCTCATGGAAACCTGATTTTTCTAGGATTCCATATCACTCCACACTTCTGGGTGGGGACAATGAAGACGAATACATTTAGGGTCTGATGTTGTTTGGAGGAATCACCAGATCTGGAGTCCTTTGGAAAGGAAAAAGACTGGTCATTTTTAGCCATTAAGTCATTTGTCTATTCTCACTTTAAACTCACAAAAGAAGATTCTCTTAAGATAAAGGAAGAAATTATGAAAAATGTACAATTTTAAAGTTTTAATAAATAATGACATAAGTTGTTTATACTCTGTGTCAGAATATATTTTCCTACTGAAAATTAACAACAAAAAAGTATATTATTCAGGGATATCCATTTTAGTTTCCTAGAACTAAAAGATCACATTTTAAAACCTAGTCAGGGGTTACAGGTACAAGAAATCAGATTTTTTTTTTTTTTTTTTTTTTACTATTTGAATTACTCCATGGTAATGTGGCCTTTTGGGAAAAAAACAAACAATATTTAGTTAGAAATAGGATGAGCCTGAAATATGCATTCATTTTTCTTAAAAGACTTCTTTCCTAAGGAAGTATAGGGTCATGTAAAGAACTGGTACTGCAAAAAATAAAAATAAATAAATAAAAGGCACTTATCTTAAAAGCTCAGTAGAGGATTCCCTCCAAAATCTAGAAGTGGCTTAAATAGAAATTACAAATATTCAGTCAGTGATAGGAACAAAATGTTTATTTTCTTAATGGTGATACTTTGCTTTGTATGAAATTCACATTGAATTATGAAAATGTACAATAATTGGGGCTTTCCTTACATATATACAGTTAATTCTACTTACACACATTAGTTTAGGCAATCTTTAATTATTTAGAGCTAAAAAAAACACTTTTTTTCTTCTAAATGTGAATTATTTTGTAAAATCCTAAAGTGACGTAGCAAAATCATTTATGTATTATTTTCAGATGAAAATTTTTACTTGGAAATTTTATGTTGATGTAAATATTCTAGAATGATGGCTTGGGCTTCATAAGTCAAACCACCAAAAAAATAAGGAAATATGCATCTGCTTTATTACTTCAAAATTTAATATTGAAAATTATTTTAAGAGAAAATTTAACTGGTGCTAATTTTTTGAGTATTAATAATGTTCTCATTATTTCATAGACTTATAAAATTGTTATCTCTATCCTGAGATTAAGGAGTTCAGCCATATTAATTGTATCTCTATTACTGAGCATGTCAGTTCTGTAAGATAAGGGAAATACAAATAATGGAGAAATGATATGATTATATTCTTTCCTCTCCTCTCCATAAATATTGTAAGCCTCAAACAAACGTATCTTAATTTTTCATAACAATCTTGATGACTTATTTGATGATGGACAATGGACTTGATTACATTATCTACCCATCTTAGAACAGATGCCCTTCAAATTCCCATGTTGCAGAGTTCAGCTTTCTATGAAGGACTGGATAACAAATATATTTGACCTTGTGGGCCACATACATCTCTATTGCATGTACTTCTTTGATTATGTTCAATACTTTGAAACCATAAAAAGATGAAAATTCATTCTGAGCTCCAAGGCTCCAGAGCAGACCCACTCTGAACTCTCACAGCTGAGAAGTGGTTTGCCAAACCGTGCTCCTCCAGCATTACATTTAGATTCCTGTGGTTCATCACATAATCTCAGTTGTTTCTTTTTCTTTTAATTCTCTCTACACTATTATTCCTTTTCATGGACAGCAAGTACAATAAAAATGTTGCCTGTTTCATATTTTCACTATATAAGAAAAGCATCAAAAATGCTCTTGGCATTTATGTATTCCAAGTAAAAGTTTAGATATTGAGAAATAATTATCTCATAAAGTTGAAAATGATTTATCCTGATTTTTGAATTAATATATAAATACGTTATGGTTTGTCATTTTCTGGAGCCCATTTAGTTACCTATTACAGAACCAAACTGAGTTATAGCATAAATCACCTGGTACCGAAACTCTAATGAATGCTTTCTCTATGAAAAAAGAAATATCATCTTTTAATTTCTTTCTGTCTGCTGTTAACATTTCATGTGTGTACAGGTGTTTACATACATGTGTGATTTGGGCTGTAATAGTGCCAACTTCAGTATATCTATAAAGAAGTCACTGAATTTACATATTTTAGATTGGAGGAAAAGTTACATATGAAGACATTACTTCTACCCTCCTTAAGAGTGACTTTATATTTCTTTATACTTTGATTTTTGATTCCATTACTAACTCAGAAATATCCTCCTAAAAAAAGAAAAGGAAGGAAAGATAAGAATAAATTTGTGGTGGGTGGGAGACAATAAGCAAATCTTATTGGTTTATTCACGCTTTTGAAAAGTTACAGTGGGATTAACTGCTGGGAGCCATTAGCCAAGTAGGTATGACAATTTCCTTGCCAGCGTACCCCATGTTGCTGACATGTTGCAGCGACATTGAATGTAGGTGACCTTGCTCAAGGACCAAGGCAGATTAGGGTGTTCCCGGTTTTAAGATAAATCGTGTTTAGGGCGTTCCCAGTTTAGGTTCCAGGTTTAAGGTTTAAGATTATTCCTGCTGGGAATAGGGCGTATCCTGCTGCCTGAGTTCCCCTTGAGTTCTCACGGGATTCAGACAGTATATTTTGGAGATAGAAGCCCAGTGGAGTGAATTTGGGCAGAGAAGGTGGATTTGGGCAGAGATCGTGAATTTGGGCAGAGAACGTGGATTTGGGCAGAGAACGTGGACTTCCCCAGAACGTGATTGTAGACGGCTGGTGTGAGTTCGGGAATAAAGAGTTGCTGTTTGAATCTACAAGCTGTGTGGTGGCTCGTGATTGTGTGCCCAGCCAGACTGCGGCATTTGTGCCCAGCCAGACTGTGGCAATTAACATCAATTGGAGAGGAGGCACCAAGTTCACCAACAGTGCTGGGTTGCAACCCTGCTTTCCATCCCTGAAAAAATTTTTCCACAGGGCTTAATAGAAACCAACCAAAGACCTAAAACACTAGGGGAGAATCTCTACACCTGCTTCCTTTTGGACTCCTTGAGCTCAGTCTAGATTCTAGTAGCACATTGGAAGGACTTGTCTAACCTACCTCAAGGGCAAACGGTCTTTTCCAAGAGACATCAGAATAAGACTCATGACAAGCAAATGTTTAGAGTACAAATGTCCAAACTCTCCAGGATGCATAATGAAATGATGATCAGTTCCGTTTTACCTTTATAGTATGGACCGTTTGCTTGTCTTCTATTACTTTTCCAAGTATAGTGGCAGCAAATTTTACAAAGTAAACTTATTAGAAAACAGAAATGATGTCACTTGAAATATCAAAATGAAATGGGAAACAAACAAAAATAAAACTCAGCCTTAGTTGGAAAATTCACTGTCAAAACTTTGAAACTCTACTTGGCATTAGAGAGTCAACTGACCCTCCATGTCACCTCATAAACTAAGAAACTTAAGCTTTGACTCCAAGGTAACATGATATACATTCTAGATTTTAATATGACTGCATCTTGTAATATAAAGAGCACTTAGCTTAAGTGTTTCCCCTCCATATAGCCTTTTTCTAAAACAAAATTGAAAATAATTTTTGCCTCCTTCTAAACTGAATCTTAGCCAGTTTGGTGTCTCTTCTTCTTGGGGAGATATCAAATAGTAATCATCCCTTTTACATTAGGAAGAAAACTTTAAATGAAATAATACGTGTCTAACTTGAACAAGAAAGAAAGCGTTATTTCTTTTTCTTTTTCCTTTTTTTTTAATGAAGAACCAAATTTGATATTGATGATCCTAAAAAAAAACCCCAAAAAACAAAAAACTGTTTAGGCAGGTGGCCAGAGTGATAAGGAAACTCTGCTTACTTGTCAACAGGACAATTTGAAGGACTGGAACAGGAGTCCTTGTGGCCCATCTTGACCTCCTTACACTCCCAACTCCAAAACACTCAGGACAAGTGAATGTTTAGAGTGCAGATGTCCAAATTCTCCCGGATTCATAATGAAATGATGATCAGTTCCATTTTACCTTTATACTGTGGACTGTTTGCCTGTCTTCTATGATTTTTCTAAGTAAAGTGGCAGCAAATTTTACAAAGTAAACTTATTAGAAAACAGAAATAATGTCACTTGAAATAACAAAGCAATGAACATTTCTGAGCATTGTTGAGGGATGGGCAAAGCAATCAGCTACCATAACAAATCAGTAGAAAGAGCCTCCCACGCCAGATATGCATGCAGAAGGAATGGGATTTTATGGGGACTTGAAACAATGGACGTATGTACATGGAGGTACAAAACACACGATCTATTAGTACAAATGAATTCCATCATATTTACTATACAGAACATCAATAGTGACAGATTGTACTTAATAATAGCAAACTTAATTTCTGAGGGAAAAAATGGTGGAGTCTTATCCTGGAAGAATAGCAAGAGAGGTATTATCAAAGAGCTAAAATTTTCTTTGGCATGGTAAAAGGGAGAAATTGTGTTTACCAACTTATTTACATGACATTGCTCTATATTTGTGGGTGACGCGATTCCATTTTGTTACATAAAATTGTTTAATGTTTTTTTGAATGCCTTCATATAAATATTTTATTCAATATGTTGTATTTGTGAATACAACAGATGATAATAAACACAGAAACTGTACAGTGCAGACAAACTCTGTATGTCAATCGAGTTCTACATACCAACAGTTCTTGGTCACAGGTCCTACTGCATGCAGTTCGTCAGTGCTGTCCTCTTCCCATGCAACAGGTGAGCCCAGACACAATGTAATGATCCAACTAAATTACAAATCGCAAAGACCCTCTGCAATACGTCTAAACACGTGTTAGAAGAAAGTATTTTGACATCTAGTCATAGCGATAAATGCCCTTATAGACAACCCAGAAAAAACAAAACAGAGGTACGACATTACATAAATCTTCATCATTTACAAAAATAAATCTTGTCTTCATTATAACCAGTAAACAGGCTTGTGGGGTCGAAGAAACTAGCAAGTAGGACAGATGGCCAAAAACAAATAGGTGGGGCTGTTTCGGGTGTGTGTGTGTGTGTGTGTGTGTGTGTGAGTGATGGTTTACGCATGTCTATAAGCCTGTCTAATTGGAATTACAAACTATTCGTTGTTTGCCACATATTATGGGATACCTGTCTTCCCTAAATAATTAATTAATGGAATTTGTTTAATACAGTTTAGCACATCTTGTTAAAAACAGTAGGCTTTAAAATGGGGTATACCAAATCAAGAATGGTCAAAGAATCATTTTTTTTGTCTTTGTAATTTAGCATTATTGACAATAAATCTACTCAAACAGTATGCTAATTCTTCATTTATTAAAGTGGAATCTAACGTGAAAATGAAATAAGCATAAACAGTTAAATTTGTACTGAACCTTTAATCAGCTAAGCAGGCCAAAAAAATTTCAGTGCTGGGTAAGGGCTGTCATGGTGATGTATGAAAGCGGTGACAAGATAATTTCCCAGTCCCCACAGTGCAGCTGGGGTAAGATGGTAACCAGGTCATCCTTCCACATGGAAATTACAGCAAGAGGCTGGTACATTGATTCCCACATACTGTTTTCTATAAATGAGGTTCAATTTGGTCTCAACTCTTCTGAGAAGAAACATTGAATTTTATTAAGTGTACACAGAGTTAACAAATATATTTCCAAACAGTTTAGTATTAAACATTTTAAAGCTCTTTATATCCAATATTGAACATTTTGCATGGAATTTTCAATATGTATTCAACGATTCACGGCCTTCTTACCAGTTGTCTTCCCTAAACTCAGAGATTAGTGGTATTCAATCAAAAAAGAAATCAAGAAAGCAAAATTAAAAAAAAAAAGCAAATATATGGAATGGCGTAAAACCTGATGTTGGAGTGTGTTGGTTTGCCTTTATTTGCATCTAGGATAATTCAACAGACGGTATTCTGAGATCATGGCAAGGCACCTCTAACCCAGCCTTTGGGCAATGGGTGCCCCGAAGAGCTGAGTTAGAGGTATGTACTGGTGAGGTCCACAGTACTGGACTCAGCATGCTGAGCTAAAAAAAATATTTTTTCCTAATATGTCCAGTTTAAAAACTTGTCATTAAACACCAAAAATATTAAAGTCTAATTTATAACTAACGTTTGCACTGCTGCTGCAGAAAGGAACACAACAGCCCAGCGGCCTGGCCCATGCTCGGCTGAGGATGAGTGGCAGCCCCAAACAGGTGGCATTAAATTCGGTTCATTAAAAACAGGAAAGAGGAGATCGGACATGGACTTAGGTAGCGCATTTCATGTAAGTTGTAATGATTGATTTCTCCTTGTTGTTGTTTTGGTTGTTATTATTTTCCTTTTTTTCCCAATAATGAGGATTAATAGATGAAAAATGAACCTTAATCAGGCCTACAAGGCCTACAGAATTCTTTGGACCCACATTCTCAAAAACCAGTGGGTCTTGCTCGCTGGGCAAGGCAAATGTTACCATTACCAGTAAGCTTGTGATATGTATAAAACACACACACACACAGAGAAACTAGAGGGGGTGTCAAACACGTACCTTAGAGACCGTCCCATGGATTGTGTTTGACCTCTTCCCACCCAGGCAATGCCAACCCTGGGAGCGCAGAATCTGCTACTGGATAGAGTGTATATGTGTGTTTAATCAGTTATGTGAGCCAGAGACAACGATCTTAATCTTTATAGGTGCAATTTGTAATAATAGGTTTAGGAGGCTTCCTGATTCCCTGATTGCTCTCCGAACTAAGCCAACTACCACACGTAAGATCTAGAGGAACACAACCCCTGCAAAAGGTCACAGACAGTGGAGCGAGCAGCCCTGTAAAAACGGGAAGAAGAGAAATCCATAATAGCACAGGTTTACAGCGTCTAACTAGAAATTACTCAATATTATTCGTGTGCTACAAAATTGAACTTAAACACATGGATCTCGCTGAAACAGGACTCAAAAAGGGTTATGGGTAGCTGTCAGCAGGCAAGGTATCGAGTGTACTTGTGAAGTATGTCATTCACATGAAGTGTCACAGTCACAGAAAAGATATTAAAAAGGCATTCCATATCTGGTAGGGCATTCCATGGTCTGAGTTTGGCTGGTAATCCAGGTGTCTTCCTGTGTGGGGGGCGCCACAGGTTGAGATTTATCCACTTGCAACAGAGAAGTTCGGAGACAGCCAAGGGCAGGCATCTGCTTGCGTCCCGCTGCTCGTGGGCACGGGAGCAGGAGAGTCTGGTGGGGATAAATCGCTCACCTGCGCTCAGGACGGGTAAGTCACAACACCTGAGGGTCTGGCTATGTGGTCTTGCTCTTGTTCACTGGTTTGCCTCCATTCATGATGGCAGACGCGCTTGTGCTTTTACTCGGCGTCACCCCAGCCTTCGGGACCGTTTCGCCCACGTCATGCAAAGATGGTTCTCGGTACATGGCAACTAGTGGCGGGAAGAGAGGAGGAGGGAAAGGAAATGTTGCCTGGTGACGTGCAGGAGAGGCCCACCCTGACACGAGGACCCCAGCAAGCAGCCCACCGCTCTTCCCAGAACGCACACAATTCTTCTGGTTTTAAGGCAGCAATTTCCAATGCACAAACAGGGGGCTTCACCTGCTCCACACGCTCTGGGTTATATTTGTCAAAGAGAAAAAATTAAATGGGACCTAATGGCCTTGACTTTAAGGGTGTGTGTGTGTGTGTGTGTGTGTGTACACAAGACTAATCCTGGTAGAGAAGGGAAAACACAGACTTCCCCTGCATACTACTATCAACACTTGAACTTCTTTCAATTATTTTTTTTTTTGAGGTGAGGCATTCATGCCCTAGATCATTAAATTACTTTCCTCGCAAGTGGTTCAAAAGCAAAATAGTCACTCTTGTGATGACTTCAAAGCTAAACAAAGCAACCACAAAGAACTCCCTTTCCTTAAACCAGGGCCCTTCCAGAGAGCTCTGGTTGTATTTCTGAAGGCAACTGTGTGGCATTTATATTTTTATGCCTCATTTTGATACATTATTAAAATCTCATAATTGATGACATAGGGCAGAGGCATAGAACGGCAATATAGCAACTGAAGGAACTATGAAGGGTCTTGCAGCCTGTATTAAGTGACTTGGCCAGGTAGTAAGAGGAACTAATCCATATCCTCGAAGCACATTTCAATCACTAACTCCCACTAGGAATGGAATGGGGAGGTAGTAGTTTCAAAGCATTGACTTTGATTATCTACAAAGTTCTGTAAGAGAGATGAATGCCCTAGAATATCAATCATTAACCAAATACTTAATCTATCCTAACATTTTCAATTCTATAATTTATAGTACGTATGGGTTTTGAGAATTTAAAATGAATTTTACTCTATATTAAGGCAGCTGTGATGACCTCTGTTTTTACAGTGCCCACACCCTTGTTTTGTTGGAGGAATTCACTCTCCTAATTATTTGAAAACATGCTGAACAGCTCTTCCTTACACATACACTCAACACTCACATAGCACAGTTCAGCCCAAGACTGCATGCCCACTTGAGGTTATGATACCACGCCAGTACAGCCTCAGATATTTCCTATGGAATATACAAAATAACCGCTTTCCAAATTTTACCTTCTGGTTTTTATTACATTTACTCAGTCAAGAAGCAAGGTTTTAGTAATTTAGTCAATTTGATCTATATTCAAAATATAAAATCAGTGAAAAGACAAAGCAAGATGGAAATAAAACTCAGGTCTTTGTGGGGCTACCATGGACTGTTTTTAAATTGTGTAAATTGCATTTGAATATTGGCAAGTCTGATGGTACCAAAAATCCCTTGGAATTAACAAAGCCACATCATGGATATGTTAGTTGGGAAGAATTTAGAAATCTTTAACTTCTTTTTCCTCTAATTTCCCTATAATCTACCATGTAATGAGAATCATTCACTCACATTTTAAGACTTTGGAATAATTTTTTTCATTTTACAGATTGGACCTGGTGGTTAATTGTTTGGATTCCAAAGAATTGTTCAAGAAGTAAATTAAGAGTGACAGGAAGTCAATATCATTGAAATTATAAAGGTATTATTGGCAAACTAGAGTGGTTTTCTAAATTCAGGAAAACTGAAAGTTTACTGTCCCCTCATAGATCATGACAAATTGACAGCTCAACATTTCAAATTATCCTTATCATATTCCTCAATAGATAATATGGATTATAAAACTGAAGTGTGTTTTTTCCTTGATGACTAAGATTTTCCTGTAGTAATAAAAATAAAAATAAAAAATAAAATAAAGAAGAAAATCTTGCTTAAGGTATTTGATGCAGTTCCTTAAGATGTGTTCTTCTGCAGAAGAGTAAACAAAAGTATTTGAATAGAAAACACTTCTTCTAAAGTAAGGAAAGCAGGTTTTAGTCAGAAATTATTGCACTAGGGGAAAGAGACCTCAGCATAGAATTGGGCTTCATTCTGGAAACAGCATGGCCCAGGAGCAGGGGTGGGGTCAGTGGATGGAAATATTAATAGGAGAGGCATCAGGATAGGAAGGATTCTGATTAAACAGAACTCACAGGGGTCTAAACACTTTTTTAAAAAAATATTTTTTAGTTGTGTTGGAGGTCAGGTGAGGGGGGAAGGTATCAAGAGTGGCCAGATAGTAAGGGTGGGAGATTCTCTCTGATGTAGCAAGAATCTTTATATAACTGGACAATGCAGGCCAGACACAAGGACATCAAGGTCAAGGCTTAGAGGCCAAACAGGAGCCCAACTAAACTTTAGTCAAGGAGAGTCTGTCAATAACCCTGTGAAGCCAGTAGAATTGTAGCATCAATTTTAGACCAATCAGTTTGAAGAAAAAGGAACAGAATTATTTCAAGTATAGACATTATGTGCTCTTTAAAAGCCAAACATTATTATGGGCTTTAAAACTAGAAATGAAAATGACACCAAACATCTCATATGATTTTTAAAAAATCAATCATTATAATATTTAAAAACCCACAGGATTGGAACTTTTCTTTTTAAAAAAATGCCAAGGGTCTTGAGAGCAATGTTAGAGATTTGCTTTGGCTTATCCCAGCCAGCAGAGGTCTTGGTCTTGCTATGACCTTATGAGGGACCATTGCCTTTCTGTGTGACCCTGGCTGGGCCTGGTGTTCTGGTTCCTTTAGTCCAGGTAGCTGTTTTTAGCAACCTGAGGGACCTTGACCAGAGGGAGTTTTGAGCTCTTTTGTCCTTTCTCATTTATTCCTTTAGAAAACACTTTTGAATAGTCTCAAATCAATATTTTTTGTAATTCTCAAATAAATTACATAGATAAAAGTAAATGACCCTTCTGACATAATCATTAATGAAAAAGGTACAGAAGTTTTTAACTAATTAACAAAACTTCATAGCCTGTGCCTTCGATCTGATCAAAGTAAATGAGAAGTGAAGGTTCCATTGTATGTAGGTGAATGAAGATAGATTATTTTCAGAAAGGAAAAACAATTTAGTAAATGAATAATAATTTATGCAGTTTGGAAGAAGATAATGTAACATCAACAAATTCTATCTTGAAGAGTCAATTATTATTACTTTATTTTCTGTAATTATAATAATTCACCAGTAGGTAATTACCTCCACCTGGATAATATCAAAATGGGCAATGCTTTTGATTCCATATGCAAAATTTATTTTTCTAATATACTATCATTATAGAATTGTAATACTATCATTGATTTTATTTTTTTTCAATTAATTAGTTAAAACTACTCAGAAATTAGAATAATCAGGCAGGGAGGATTTGCAACATGGAAAAATAAATGTCACACACACACACACACGTGCACAAAAAAAACATAAGCTCTACCAATGAATTGCACACCTAACCACACAAATCAAAATGAGCAACTTAAGTAGTCATTTGTGCTATCATCATCTAGATCAACACAAAGAGCATTTTCAACACTCCACGAAGGTTCCTTGCAGCCTGGCTGAGGGCTGACTTTGCAATGTAAGAAGGAAGTGGATAGGGAAAATGCATACACAGCACTCACCTTCCAATGGCTTGGGTAGAAAATGAGCTGCTGGTTTGGTTTTCTTTACTCTGTTCCCTTTCATAGCTTGCCCTTCCTTATTTAATCCCAAAAACCAGGCTCTACCAGATTCCTGTTGTCTGTATAGCATGGATGAGTAGATTACATAATAGTTTTCAAAAACAGATTCTTTAAACTTGCATTCAGGTGTAAAAAGTTCCTGTGGAGAGAAAAGGAGAAGAAAGTTAGAGGAAGGAACTAAACTTCACTGTGTTTTCAATTTAATCTCCCCAAACTCATCCAACATGGTAGAAGTGTCTGCCCTATGGCAAGGATTCCTAGATACACCTATTCCTCCCATGAGAATTGTTTGCATGTTGTTTTCAGTACAAATGAATTGAAAAGATCTGATACTATTGTGAATACATACAGTATTTACGGGCAAAACTATGGATGTCCTTTATTTAATAATAGAAGATGTGAGCAAATTCAATATTTTCACTAAAGGAGTAGTTCAAAAACAGGGAGATTATAGTAGCATCATATATTCACAATAAAGTGAACAAAAATAAATACATACTTAAGACACTGTATAATGATTGACATATTTTCATGGACATGATCATCTGATACTCCTAATTGTGGCCAGTTGTTCCTTGGAGCTCAGTGTTGTAAGGTGGTGTATTTTCCATACATAGAAACAAACTGAACCAAAATTGTGACAATCAGCTGGCACACAGGTTGTCACCGGAGCTATTGTTGTATGACCAGTTGAAGCCAGGAGTCATGTTAGCTGGTCACAGTGACAAGAGCTGAAAATTATTACCTAGTTCCAGGGTTTACAACCCTTGCCTTCCACTTGGCCCTCCACTAAATTCCCTTTGGAACTCTTGAAGGTAAACATCAAAAGCTGCCCTGATTGAAAACCACCTAATATCTTTGAAAAGTATGCAGAGTGTTAAATTACATTAGGCTCAATGTCATAATGTACATAGATCGATGCACAGCATAAAGTTTGATAATTTATGATTATCATTAATATCAAAAATATTCACAGATGATTCTATATACTTATAAGCATTTTTATTTTAGAATGAATGGTAATGAATATACTGACATGCATGTTTATAAAATATATAAAGTTGCAAACTCCATGCATTTCTGATAGACCTCTATTAAATATAACCTCAAAATTCAAACTTCCTAGTTACAGAACATGGAAGACACTTAACCAGTTTTTGTAGCTATTTTTAAATAGTCTTAGCATTGTGCTATTGTATAAATATATAAACTACAGATGCAAACAGAGTTGTACTGTCACTGATCTTTTTAAAATTATAACTGAACTTAAGAAATATATATAAGGTTTAATTTCACTTTAATAGATTTTACCATTGCAGAAATAACCTTAGTTTTTCTTCCAAAAATATATTCTTATAAGCATTCTTTAGGAGCTAAAAAATAGAATCTTTAAGAGTTGAATTTATGCTAACTGTTATAATGGATATCTCATAATTGCATATAGAAATTTTCTTTTTCGGTGTTTCCCCCAAGAGTGTGAATTATCAGATTGTGTCGTTATTAGGATATAATTTATTTGGTGTTCTTCATAACTTTAACCAATTCACTGAGCGTAATAGTTTCCAAGGGAAATAGACTTTGTTAATGACCAATGCTTTTTAGGACAAAGGTGACAGATACAGTGATCAACTGATGAGATTAAAATAGTTGAAAGACAGGGTTAGCCCCCTCCCACAGGAATTTGCATAAATCTCCATTTCTCATTTCTTCTAGGTGATGTTACCTCAGGTTCAAATAAAATCCCATCCAAACAAATGTCTTGGCCTTGCACTAAATTTCACTTCTCCAAATATCCTTCTGTTGGTTCTCTCACTCATCAGTGAGAATCTTACTGAGTCAGTGTCCAAGCTCTCCCTCAGAGGAAAATTGACAAAATAGTGCATGTTCACACATGAGTGGTGAGGAAAATAAAATAAAATGGAATGCAATAAATCTAACCTGTCCTAAGAGACTAACAAACATACCATGTTGGTGGAAACTAAGCCTTGGACAGATAAGTTAGACTTTGACATGCCACTTGTTTTTTTTTAATGAAGACATGGCAAGGCATCTAAGCTTAGGATCTACTAGTTAAAATCTGTTTCAAAACCAGCCATGAGTGGGATGGTAAAGGTGACCTGGTGGTCACTCAGTAGAGGCCAGGGGAGCTACAGTCAGGAGAGGGATGGTAAAGGCTGACCTGGTGGTCACTCAGTGGAGGCCAGGGGTGCTGGCATTTACTTTCTGGTACATGAAGTTCCTGGCCAGGGACTGACTCATGTCAGTGAGGGATCACTGATTCCTATCCTTCACAGACACTAGGGTCTCTAGCTTTGAAAATGTAGACCCACAGGGTAGTCTAACTCTCATTCTTATCTAATCACACCCAGAGTAATGTGCAAAACATGGTGGGTTCTGCTTGCACCCTCAGCAAATTAGGAAGGCACTGTCTCTGCACTGAACTGACCAAATTAAAGGTAAAAGTGAATGAAGACTCTTCATGGGGAGGAAGTAGTTTATTCCCAGTAGAAACCTTAAGGTCTTCTGACACTACATCTTTTCAAATGTGCACCTGCGTGTTAGGACTTTGAGAAAGTTGATTCCACAATACGGTTTTGTGAGCTGTGCCTGTGACTTCACAGCTATGTGATTCTCTTATCTTTAAATGAGAATTACTGCTTTCATAATGATGGTGGAGACTGGTTGATACATTTTCAGCCATCTCTATATCCCTGAGTAAATCATTACAACACACACACACACACACACACACTCAACATTCAAAGATATTTTTGTCTGATACATTTTCTCAAGACTTTTCAAGAATCTAATCTGTTCCTAAAACATTCTCAGGAGAAGTGACATAATTAATGAAAGTTGAGGTCATTTATGGTTTTTTGGTTTTGTATGTCACACACACACGCACACACACACACACACACACACACATGCACTTTCAGTATGTAAATGGAATCTTCAGAGTTCAACCCTGATCCAACTCCTTACTGACCACATGTCCTTGGGGAAATTGCTCAATCTCTTTGGGCTTCAGTTTACTTATCCCTAAAATGAGGACAAAAAGCATAGACTAATAAGGAAATTGGAAGGACTGGATAAATTAATACACATTAGAAGAGCACTCGGCATATGGTAAGCACTTGATAATTATTCTAAAATAAATTCTCTATTACTTATGGTTAAGAAAAATATACTCCGTACCAGTTATTTCAATTCTATTAAGATTTCAGGGGCTGGGGATGTGGCTCAAGCGGTAACGCGCTCGCCTGGCATGCGCGGGGCACTGGGTTCGATCCTCAGCACCACATAAAAATAAAAATAAAGATGTTTTATCCACCGAAAAACTGAAAAGTAAATATTAAAAAAAATTCTCTCTCTCTCTTTCTCTCTCTCTCTTAAAAAAAAGATTTCAGCAAATCAAAATTAATCTAAATCATTAGTCACAACTGCAGTTTTTATATCAAGTATTGGGCTCAACACCAGGTAAACTAAAATGAATAAGGTTAATCATTCATCTCAGCCAGGCATGTTGGCACATGCCTATAACCCCAGCAACACAGAGGCTGAGGCAGGAGGATTGCAAGTTTAAGGCCTACCTCAGCAACTTAGTGAAACCCTGCCTCAAAAAATAAATAAATAAAAAGGCTGGGGATGTAACTCAGTGAACTCTGTGGTAATGTGTCCTGGGTTTAATTCCAGTAACAACAACAACAAAAATTCAGACCAAAACCCAATAACAAACAAAAAAGAAGTAAAATTAAAAAAATGATAGTACAATGCAATCTTTGTTATGGTAGACTTGTGTTTAAAATACTACAGTGACTATAGGTGGAGTAAATGGTCTCCTGAAAGATAACTGGTAGTGAATGCTGAGCTGCTGTTTGGCAGCTGGTCAGCCATGTATTGGGTGAGCGGGAAAGGACAAGGAAGAGTGACTAAAGACCACAGGGAGCTTTATCTGACAAGCCAGCCCCTGGAAGAGGGGGGCCTGGCAAGTCAGAGCATGCCCCAGCCACAATCACTCCCATCCCCCTTAAGGAAAACTACTGTTTGGAGATCTTGCTGCACCCTACCAGGTAATACGGACCCTTCCTTACCACGGAAACTATGTCACAATCCCCAATCACTCTGGCAACCAAAACATCAAGACCCTCACAAAGAAATCTTGATGAGGTCTATTCAAAGGGTGACAAAGTGATTGAGGGGCTGAGGCCAAAACTGGGGGACTCGATTTTCTTAAAATTTCTGACTCCATAAGCATGGCTATCAAAGCCTCCATGCAGTTCCTAGGCTGCAGGTTACCTTGTTTCTCTCTTGACCTCCAGGAACTTTCTTTTTAAAAGCACTTGACCTCCAGCCTTGTCTGTCTTAAGTCAACAGGACATGTGACATTTCTGAGCAAACAACCTGTTACTTGTAGGAGAAATGCAGATCCCCCAAAAGCTGAGAAGGACACAATCTACCCCCAAAAGGGGAACTTTTGTGACCCTTACACAGACCAGATCCTAGAACTCAAAGAGGTAAAGATGACTTCCCCCTAACCATAAAATCTGCAAGAACAGATTCCACTGAGAACTCATCAACATGGGCCAAAGTGATCTAGCTCATTCACAGTGGGGACATGAAAGTCTGATGTCATCCTGCTGCCAAAAAATCAAGAGGTGAATTTAGGCAGGATTCTGGAAACTTCCCTGGCCCCCAATAAAACTGATGGGCAGAAGGGGTGTGCTGTTCTCCTCCTCTCTGCAAAGACATACTCTCTCCCTTGAGATCATCCCTTTTTCCTATTCCTATCTTCTCATAAATTCATGCCTGCTGTTCTGAGCAACGTGTCTGAGATCTTTCTGGCATGATCATAAGAACCAGTGAAGAGAGAGGACCTCCACGGATGCACAGTTCTGCATTAGGTCTCTGCCCTGTAATGGCACATTTGGAGAACTATGATTAGTTTACACTGAGGCATTGTGGGCAAACTGGTACATGATGTGGATGGGAAGGCGGGTTGGAGAAATGTGATTAAAGGGTGTTGTACATTGATAAACAAATGAGACCTCTTGTAAGTGGGAGAAAGAATTACTGAACAAGCAAGGCAATAATCACAAGGCCTTATTAGTATCTTTTAAATGCAAATCTGTTCACATG